ATGTAAAAAGACATTCCATATACTCAGCTTTGCTCCTACTTAAACTTTTAAGATTCCATCTTTTGCCTCCATAGCTCTCATTTAGAATTAATCCCAATTCTATTCTTGTCCACTAATACTATTTCATCTGCAACCAACATACACCATGGTTGTTGATTCATCTATTTCTTCTATTTTAGATTAGTTTTGGCACTTATCACAACACACAGTTGTAGGTGATAAATTTTTGGAAAAATTAGAAATAAAAATCCCAACTTCCATCAATTTTGCTAGAATAATCCCAACTTTGGATTATTTTGAAATAATCTGAATTTTAGGGGTTTCTCTTTTTCTTCAATCCCAAAAACCGATGACCGGTTGAAAGGGTTATTTTTTTTAAAGTGACACATGTCATAACTGAATTGGCTAAAACAATTTATAATTTTTTTTTAAAAAACCCAACCAAACCCAAAATCCCAGCCACCAGCAAACCCCTAAAACCACCGGCCAACCCCAACAACCACTCGCCTAACCCTAAATGGCGGCGCTAATTCCCCTTCCCCTGCGCTGGTTTCCCCTTCCCTCTCCCCCTACACCGGTTTCTCATTCCCAACTCGTCGGTTTCCCCTTCCCTTTCCTCCCTGCGTTTTCGAAAATAGCCGCTTAAAACCCCTAAAAACTCCTCTCCCACTCCCGAAAACCCCCTAAAACTCATCCCCACCGTCGAAAACCCTAGCCGCTTAGGTTTCTGGGTGGTGGGAGGAATGATTGGGGGTTTTTGGCATTAGGGAGGAGTTTCGTTGGTGGATTTGGGGTTTCGAAGTGGTGGTTTCGTGGGGAATGGCTGGTGTTTCGGGGAGGGAGGAAGGCGGCGACGCGGTGGAGGTTGCTTCAAGCGGCTGGCCGGCGAAAAAGGGGTGGCAGGATGGGCGTTGAGGTGGTGGTTAGGGTTGCGGTGGGGGAAGGGGAGGCTGGCTGGTGGTTGGTGATTTTTGAGTTTTTTGTTTTTTTTTTTTTGTTAATTTTTTTTGGGACCAATCAAGGGCTTGACACGTGTCAATTGATATGATATAATAGGTCATTGACTTTTGTTGACCGGTTTGGGATTGAAGAAAAAGAAGACCCCCCAAAGTTCGGATTATTCCATAATAATCCCAATTATTCTAGCAAAATTTATGAAAGTTGGGATTATTTTTTTCTAATTTTTCCTAAATTTTTGGTTATCAATTGTTATTTATTGGAAAAGTCGACATGAAGGAAGCTAATGGGGTATTATTTTATTGAAAATTAAATTTTATAGTAGATAGAAGGTTTTTTTTTGTTTTTTAATTTTTTTTTATTATTATTGAATGTGAGCGAGAGTGAAGCCCTAAATTTCTTTAAGTGGAAAGAGATGTATTAAAATAACAGTGAGGCATTTTTCAAAATAAAAGTGTAAAAAACTTTAATTTGGAGTGAATGAAAAAGAAATTGTAAAATCATTTTTTGGAGAGAGGGAGAATACTAAAATTGCTGTAAAGAAGAAGGGGCTTGTGTAGGTTCTTTGATGTAGTTCAATGGTGATAGGAAACTCCTTCATAATTCCAGCAAAAGCCCTTGAATTTGTTTTCACTTCTCCAAACATATTTACAAGAAATAAGGCTTCTTAATCAATGCCCACCAGATAACGTCACTTAGCACCTTATCATAAGCCCTCTCCTGGTCAATGAGAATCTTCTATAAATCTTTCTTCCTCAACCTAAAGTAATATCTTCATTTTCCTTATCAAATGTAAAGCTTCCATGGTACAATGCTCTGGTATACAACCTGATTGGTTCTCTAAAATACTTTACATCTTCTCAATTTATGCTCTATCACTCTCTCCCACAACTTCATGGTATGGTGCATAAGCTTAATTGCTTCAACAGATTGAGTAGACCTAATCATCCCCCTTTTTTTTTTTTAATAAATTAGTATAAGGTGCTCTTTCTCTAATCTTGCCTCCAGATCTTTGTTGAATAGATCTGCTAGCCAATTAGTTCCAACCTACCCGAGACATCCCTCAACCTTAGTAGGAATTTCATCTGGGCCAACTGCTTTCTAAAACGGTAAAAGCGTCACAGACTCAACAACCCACAACACAAACACACAAATATAAAAGAGAACAAAGAGATTCAGCCAGCAAAAGACTGTAGTTTGATTGACTGATTTAGTAACTTTAGGTTACAACTCTCCAAAGAAGTATCCTGTGGGTAAAATCTCAAATACACTAGTCTAATCACATGTCTCTCCAACTATCAAAACATTCCTTATATACACAAAGCAAGACTACAAAAGCTAACCGACATTTAATTGTTTTTGTCTCATTCCATATTCCAATGCTGCTCCGCTACTTGTTTGCACCCTTCTGTTCAGAAAATCAGAACATTAATTTGGTTTGTCCTCTTGTGCCACTTGTGTCTCCTCCACCTGTGGTGTGGCTGGTTGTTTGGCTTGCTTCCCCTTTCTCTGATAAAGCATATTGGTCGTTTGGGTGGTCCGATCATTGTCTCTAATACAAAAGGTTAATGTAGTTTGCTGCTTGTGGCTGCAGTACAGGAACTTTTCATAATTTGACTAAGGATTGATTCAGTTTCCACTGTATCATTGCACTGGTGTTTCATTTTCTTTTTCGGGAAAATGGCTGGGACAAATGATTAACGTAAAATTTTACTCTCATAGTGGCCTGGAGCGTAGACTTTGTGTTGTCAAGGGTGGTCTTTCAAATTCTAACAAGTCATTGGGTATCCTGCTTTACTAATGTATCAGGGTCACTTCCAGCCTTTGTTATTCAGTCTCAGACTTGGGTACATAGATGTGGGGGTTTGTCTAGTTTGTCACAAGTGTCAGAAAAAAGTTCCATGCATTTGCTCCTAAATTATGGGTGACCCTTTGTTATTCAGTCTCAGACTTGGGTACATAGTGTGGGGGTTTGTCTAGTTTGTCACAAGTGTCAGAAAAAAGTTCCATGCATTTGCTCCTAAATTATGGGTGATTGAAGTGAAATGATATGTTTGATTAACATAGGTTCCTGCTGTCAGATACTTTATAGGATCCTCTTGTAAGAACAATTAAGACTAAAGATTAGCTTTTTGCATATGGTCAATTTTCTGTTAATCTAGTTTTTGTCCTTAATAGCCTTTTCTTCTAGATTTTCTTTTTTTGAGGTGGATGCTTTTAGAGAAATGGACGAGCTTTCTTGTTTGCGTGTAACTTTGGATTGATAACCTTGTGGATTTGATTTATTCACTTCAATTTGATTGACTCGTGCGAAGTTGCAACACTTGCGCTATGAGGCGTTGTCAAACGGATTCCGTTAGTTGCTTATTGACAAAATGATTTTATAAGCAGGACCATTTTGTGGGTTTAAACCTTGGCCTTAATGCCTATGCGTGCAAGTAGGGCTGTACACCGGTCCAAAACCGGACCGGACCTGTTGGACCGGGACCTGAATCAGCAAATTTCAAGGACTGGAGACCGGACCTGATTCTACAGGTTCGGGTCAGGTCCAGACCTGAGCAATCAGGTCCGAGTCAGGTCTAGACCGAAAAAGACCTGTTTTGTGCATTTTTTTTTTTTTAATAAATAACCTGTTGGATGCATATGGACCTGCACATGGACCTGTTTTGTGTTGCATAATTTAATTATTACATAAAATCTGAAAATATCAATCACAAAAACTACATAAATTACATATAACAAATAATTCATAAAATTACATAAAGTCTCTAAGTCTCAAATGCTTCCGCCCCGCTTTTAGCTTCTTATCCGGAGGCAAAGTAGATTGCAATTCTTCCATATCCTTTTCAGGAAGTGGCTGTGACATTTGTTGAGAAAATGCAGCAGACCTTTTGGATTGAGAGCTCTCCATCTTCAATATAATTATACACAATATAAGTAATTTTTAAGTAACAATTATAAACAGGACCATGAGTTGATAATTATAAACAGGACCATAAGTTGATAATTTTTAAGTAACAATTATAAACAGGACCATGAGTAATAATTATATCATTTAAGGGATGCCTACGTGCCATGAGTTGCCCCTGTAGTAATTTTAAAATAATTTTTAACAAGTTATTGGTTAGTTGAATTTCTGGAAAGTTTTATCTCAATTGTTGTAGTTGCCTAACTGGTTAAGGTCCTTGCATATCCCCAAAGGCCAAAACCTCATTTCTCATCTTAGCTGGTTATTGTTGGTTCTTAGGCTTTATTCTTCTCCACTTTTTATAGATTAGTGAAATACATATGTTAATTTGCAGGCTTTCTGTTATGAAATAATCTACACACAATATTTAACTACCTGTCCCTTTTAATTTTTTTTACTTGATAATTGATATTGTTGTGTGGTAATAGTACTCACTAACCACTGCAGTTTTTGTAGTGATAGGTTTTGATATTTTGCTGAGCATGTTCGAAAGTAATAGAAAAGAGTGAGAAAGAAAATCTAGAATAATCTACCTAAGCAGCAAATAAGCTGCTCACCTCCGCAAGTCTTGAAAGAATATATATAGAGGCCACATTCATCTTACTGTCATTAGGTTGGCATGTGGCTAGCTTTAGAAAAATCTAGATAGCATGCGTTTAATAGGTAGACGTGTTTTTGATTAGTTGTTGGGTGTCACTACAAAGCCTTAGCTGACTTTAGTAGATTAGCACTGTATAAGTACAGCTAAGCAAGTGTTAGTAGTTGTGATATATGTATGAGTGACTTAAGTTTAAGCTAGCAAGTGTGAGTGTGCTAGTGCGTGAGTGCTGTTTAGCACACTTGTAATTAAAGTGTTTACAAATATCAGTAAGGTATCCCAATATTAATAGATGTGCATCCCTTGTGAATTCTTCTCAACATTTTAAAACATATTTGTGGTTATTGTAAAATAATTCTTATTTATTATACCTCGTGCGCACATCTTTAACACTGGTGATGCCCGTAGTTTTTACTCTTCATATATCTAATGAGTTGATACATAAGTATGAGCTAGTCTTGACTCATTTTTCTTCAGGATCACTTAGCTTTAATGATGGAGCTCTTGGGAATGATGCCGCGCAAGGTTAGAATATATTTTAGTGTTTTCAGGGAATGTTTTAAAGTAAATTTTTCAAGGCATTTGCTCCTAAGCTGTGAATTTTACCATGAATCATTTCCAGATTGCATTAGGGGGACGTTATTCTCGGGACTTCTTCAACAGATATGGAGACTTGCGACACATACGTCGGCTTCGATTTTGGCCATTAAACAAGGTCCTTGTTGAGAAGTATGAGTTCAATGAACAAGATGCAAATGAACTTGCAGAATTTCTAGTTCCCATTCTTGATTTTGTCCCTGATAAGCGTCCTTCTGCTGGTCAATGCCTTTCTCATCCATGGATTGCTGGAGGCATTCCTCGTGTAGAGCCTTCGCCACCTGAAAGTCAGGCAGTGGATTCTACTGCTCTAGATAAAACGGAGAAAGAAAAGGATGATAGAGAAGCGATGGAGAAAGGCATGGGGAGTATTGCTATCAGTACAGACTTAAAACCGAGCAAACAACCTTTATCCTCTCCTAAACCTTCAAAAGCGGCTGTAATTGGTTCATCCAGGTAGGAAACTACTCTGTGCTGGAGCAAAACTTTCTTCCAAACCTAACCATTCTAAATTTCTTATTATACTCTAAAAATCTTGTCTGTTGCTCGATCTGATGTTGGGTAGGATGGTGTGGGATTCGATGCATTCTTTTATTGTGCAGGGAAAACCTTGACCGGAGCTGTAGCTCCAAAGGAAAGGCCCTTGAACGATTCTGAACTTTATTGCGAATCTTGAGGCAGTTGTTGATGGGTTCTGTTTTGTACGATCCAAGTCTAACCTCTGCTACTGCTGTCCTGTTGATACCTTCTCGATTATGAAAAGAGAATTAATGTACCATATTGCAACCAACCTTATTGATTTGTTAATGACATTGATCTAAATTTTGTCTACTATTGCTTTGCTTTTCTTTAAAAGGAATGGTTTTGTCTTAAAGAGTACACGCATCTCTGTTATACATTGTCAACTGTATTATTCGCTTTTCTGTTAATCTAGGTCTCTTCCTTAATGGGGTTGATATCAACCTCCGAATTTTGATTCTTCACGAGAGAATTACTGAACAGTAGTCTAATCAACTCCGTTCCCTATTGACTGACAATAATTTTTTTCTTTTCCCTAATTTGTGGAAAGTACTGAAGGCTTTTGACAGGAATCTACAAACTTTGATCGGAGTTGGTTGAACATAGGTACAGCTTATCATTATATATTAGGAATTTATCTAATTATTATCCCTTTTTTACTACTACCTCCATTACAGGTTATGTGCAACAATTAGACATTTTCTCTCTCTACTTTATGTCAAATCGTTGCGCATAACGTGTAACGGAGGTAGTATGTTTAATTTTCGAGAGTTTGTATTGAAAAGATCTGTGCTCGTGATTCGGATTTGCATTACTTCGGATTACTTTCTGCACATATTTTTTTACCTTTATGTCTAATTTAATCAATAATGCCTCTAAATAATCTGAGTTATCTAAGCCAGTGCATTTTTAAAGAATAAAAGATTATTACAATTATAGAGTTTTCCATAAGGCTGGTTCTCCATGATCGCATAATGACCAATATTGTTTCAAGAAAAACTTAGCCGAGGATCTTAAATGCAAATCATGAGTTACTTGTGATGAAACTTCACTTCATGTGTTAAGAGATTGTAGAATGGCTAGAGAATTATGGAGGCAAGTAGGTGGCTCGGCTAACACAAGTAATTTCAAACCAGGAACTTTACAGCAATGGATAGTAGGCAACCTCAAGTTTCAGGAGAGAAACGATATGTCCCCCGAAATTTGGCCTACTTATTTTGCTATGGTTCTTTGGTGGATATGGAGGTGGAGGAACATTGTGGCTTTTGGGAAGAGAATGAAAACCCAATTGATGTTAAACAATTCCTGCTAAATCGCTTTGAAGAAACATGGAGAGCTATGGGGGAGGACCGAGGCTTTTATAAGATGGATTGCTCCCCCTCAAGGGTGCATGCTGCTGAACACCGATGGAGCAGCTAAGGGAGCTCCGGGGCCTGCTGGAGGTGGGGGTGTAATCCGGGATTATATGGGGCAGATGGTGTGCTTTCTCTCTGAAGTTGGGTGCTTGTAGGGCCTTTATGGCAGAGGCTCGTGCTTTTGAGTATGGGCTTGAATTAGCTGTAAGAATGAGAAATGAGAAGCTGCAAGTTCAACTTGATAGTCAAGCCTTGGTGATGGTGCTTAACAATACCTATGCCGTATAATGGAGAATGTGTGCATATCATTACTAGATGCAAGAAGATGTTGGAGGACAGCAGCTGGACTATTGAGGTGCATCACATCTACCGAGAAGCAAACCGTGTTGCGGATTGGTTGGCAAATCAAGGCGTTAGCCTGAACGATTCAAAATTTCAAGTCCCTCCTTTAGCTTTAGGAAGATTTATGTATTATGATGTAGTGGGGGTGGCTATGCCATGTTTTGTTCCCCCTTCTTTTTTTTTTTTTTTTTTCGGGACATAGCCCCTCGTTTGCACCAATAAAAAAAAAAAATATATATATATATATATATATATATATATATATATATATATATATATATATATAGATTTTCAAATCCATAGCAATTTGGAGAAATAAGTATATAGCTGGCTTCTCTCTCTCTCTCTCTCTTTTTTTTTTTGAAACAAAAAGACTTCTCTATTTTATTGTTACTTCAGTAAAAAAAAAAAAAAAATAAATAAATTCAACAATACTTGTGGAGAAATATTACGAAGTGGATATTTTTGTTTTAGTTGCGTAATACAAATACTAGTATCAAATTTAGGATTTCTTCCACTATTTAGTATTTACCACTTTCACATGTTAAAATTACTTCTTTCGTTCCTAAAAGATTGTCCTATACATATGTGTAAAGTCTTTACAAAGATTTACTCTACACTTTAATTGGTAAGCTTTTCCACTTACCTCTCGACTTGCTCTCTCGTTCTATCCCTCTCCTCATCAATAATTGTATCCTCCCATATGGCCATATGCATAGAAATGCATTATTTCACAGACTTCCTTTTAAAAAGTAGAGGTATGAGACAATCTTTTAGAGACAAAGAAACAAATATATTAAAAGATAATCACATGATACTTGGCCTTCCTTCCAAACAAATGTCTCTATATAAAAACCATATGACTTAAGACTTATGTAATAAAGTAGGATAGATAATCATACCGTTTAACACATAATAAAAACATGATGTGCTGTTAAATGTACCTGATTAGCAAAGCAATTATGTTATAGAGCTAACCCAATTACTGCTGGGTAACTTCACTTCTTATTTTTTTAGTACAAGTCATAGTTCATGAAGTTCATGACATCAAGTTTATTTAGTAGTAAACATACAATCAAAGTCATACAAGTCCTCACAATAGGAGGTACATATTGATGCATCTAGAAGCATGAGATATGATCTACAGCAACGAGGCTGCTTCTTTGTCTAGAAACCAAGTCATCTCATCTTCCGGCGAAACCATTTGAGCTGGCAGAACATCAGTAGTACTCTTGTCACCGAGCACCTTCTTCACTGCATTGACCTCGCCATATCCACAAACCACAAGAGCAATGTAAGCAGAAGAGTTGATTACAGGAAAGGTGAAAGTGATTCGCTCTGGTGGTGGTTTTGGCGAGTCCTTAATAAAGGTAACCCATTTCTTATGCTCCTTAAGGAGAGGATGACCAGGAAACAAAGACGCGACATGTCCATCTGGACCCATGCCTAAAAGCATAAGGTCGAATTTTGGGAAGCCTGTAGCTTGTGATGTTGCTATCACATTGCTGTCGACGAGTTTTCTGATACGGGTTTCGTAATCTTCAGCTGCCCCTTCTGGGGAGAGTGCATCATTGATGGCATAAACTTGCCCAATTAGGATAGGTACCTGGTATAATTAGGAAGTGTAACATGTGATATATAGTCATATGAAAAATATGCATCAAATTCTTCAATGTATCAGTCTAATTGTCCTCTAGATTTTTCTGTCACAGTTTTCAGAGTAAGTAGTATTTAAAGAATTAACAAGAATGTTAAACTAATCTCAAAAACAGATTTTTATCATTATCTGTACTCGATACATAGATTTTAAATTTGGCTAATACAAAACCTTACTCGTCTACTTCATTAGAAATGCATCAGTCACTACACACTTGTCTCTAATTGTCTAAATTAAAAAATAAAATTGATATTATGAAAATATACACTATTACTAATCCAACAAACCAACACAAATCTGCATAATAACATTTGTTAAAGTTGCTATATATGAATAGTGAAAATTCAAAGCGATCCATCTATTATCTACGTTTTTTTTTTAAGGTGTGAAGAGAGCCACAAGGGCGGTGGTGATAATCGATCCAAGGATCTCTTAGAGCCGAGAGGGAAGCTCTGATCACTTGAGTCATCCTTCACTCTCAGGAAATGATTTTGGCACACTCTAAATTAATTTTGGCACACCCCTATGTGAGAGCACAGTTTTCTATGCTCTTCTCACATAGAGGTGTGTCTAAATCAATTTAGGGTGTGCCAAAATCAATGCCCTTCACTCTCATACAAGTTAATCCTCGTAATAAACAAGTTTAAAACTGCTACTTAGTGGCATTACTCCGTGATAACTGGGGCGGCCTCACTAAATATTAAGTAAATTATTGGAATTGTTGATCGTAACAGTAAAGAGATAAATTTAAGTATAATCAATAAAATTAGAAAAAAATATACCTTAGACAAGAAACCATCAAAGGCAAGCTTATAATTACTATCAGGATGATCTCTGGGAACAACTCTTTCATCAAGCCAGAACACATGCCATTTTGACCAATCAATTGAATTTGAATAGGGTGGTTCCACCAATTTCCTGAATTATTTCCAATAATTATTTAAATATTAAAAACCCAATCAACCAAATTTAAAAATACATGAAAAAAAAAAAAAAAGATTTCATACCTGAGATTTTGTATAAGATATCCCCCAGAAAGAACAACAGTAAAAACGCCCCTCTCTCTGACAAACTTATCAGACAAATCAGCGACGTATTTTGCCAATTCTGAAGCTACAACTTCTTCAGAATCTAAGATATTCACATTAACAGGAGATTTTACTTCTGACATTGACGTTTTCTGATCTACGGTATATATTTATTGTATTAGAAATATTGTTGCTCTGAATTTTGATGGTTTTAGTAAGAAAATAAATGTGAGTCTTTGTAGAATAGAATAAAAGGTTGATTTGACTTTTTTGGTACATTAATCAGCACGAAGATGTTGAGTTCCTCGTGTGAGTAGTATGTGATACGTGTTGTTTTTCCTAAAGGAGTACCCCTACCTTATTGCCACAACTCAAAATTGTACCAACTATATTTACTATTTAGTTCACCTTATTTTATGTTCTTATTACAAGTATTATACTAGAAAAAGGTTGATATCAAATATGCTACAGTACATATTTTTAAAATTAAAAAAATATGTATTGTTTGGGTCCAATTTAGTCCAATTGGGCCTAGTCATTAAATGATCCAATTAAAAGCCCAAGGTCAAGGTTCAACTCTCTAATTGTGCTAAAGTCAAGATCAGTCCACAAGGCAAGTCAATTGGGCCAAGGACCACATTCTCTATATATACAAAGGTATAAAAACCATCAATATTACATTGGTACATTTATTCAAACAAAGTCTCAAGCAATTAATTCTCTTGCATAGCTTTCTCTCTCTACACACTGTACTGACTTTAGCATCGGAGGGGCCTTCCTCGGCAACACCCCCGAGGCTAGTTTACGTGTGTTTGTTGTGCAGGAAACCTTCGGCCCAACATCACTTGGACCGAATCCAGTCTTCCCCACTTCATCGGACCTTCGGCAAGGTCCCATTGTTTTCACCCGAAACATGTATGTTAATTATAGAGTATGTAGCAAGAGACAAGTACTAAGACGAAGTGTAACATTTTTAGCTGTTGAATAGGAATTGTATTATCTAGCGAATAATCTTATATCTCAAATGGGCAACTTTTGTGCACCCATTTTGACTTCTAAAGGCGAAATTGTTCTCACAATACCAGGTTTGAGGATGAAAGATGTTGAGTTTGCCTTTTGAAGTTCCATAAACAAGA